TACTATAACGAACAGGAACACTTTAATGTCAGTCCATAAATAACTCTTCTGCTTCAATAGCAGCGACGTAATAAAAACATGTAATAAAAATCAGCAGTTATTCAAATTGTGGGTGGTTGCCTGTAGAAAGGCTAACTGTGACACTGGCCTCTAGCCAGTGATGATGGAGTCTATGTGAGCAGTGGAATGAGAAGAGCTGGTGAGAAAGCCTTCCTGCTGAGGGTCTATACATAGGGGCCTCGTTTCAGAGGCCCTGGCAGAGCAACTTCTCCAAAAAGGTAATGTGTCACAATGTCCTGTGTCACCTCTCAGTCCCACCTGGGTATCTGAGGTACCTTCATGCATCCCTGGTGGCACTAGAGTCCCATGTGTGGGCAAGAGAATTGTACTTCAGGTGTCAGCTGTCACTTGAGCTGGATCACATGTAGACATTCATGCACAGTTGCCCAATTTTTAGAATCTTATTCTGGAACTGAATGCCAACCAAGTTGTATTGCATGTTCTCCCAGCTTTCACTCTTATTGTTCTCTCAGCATCTACTGACATTTCAAAACACGTTCCAGGCAATTTATTGACCTAGAGAGCAAAAGGTGTGGAATACAGAAATATTTATAAAATGGAGTAGCACCCAATGCAAAGTCTAGTGTTTAAGAGAGATGCAGAAGCAGTCAAAATTCATTGTTCCTTCATTTGCCTTCTGAGAATGCTCTGAAAGTCCTTGAAATCCTGAAGTCTCAGTTCTTACATCAGTTCTACACTGGGTTTGCACTGGGTAAGAAGGACTAACTCAAGAAAAAAATCCTGCATTTTTGTACTGTAGATGAGTTTTGACTGACAGGTTGACCCTTAACATCCTTTATTTAGCACTGAACTATGATACTTCTATTCATGGAAATGAAAATAATCCATTTCACTATTCTGTCTGTATGCAATCCAGAAAACTTCAAAAGTCCTTACAAATCTCCATAGAAGTCAGCTAATAGTGTACTGGTCTTGGACAGACTCAAGTATTGTTGGAAGCTAAAAGTTCTTTCCCCTTAGGTAATCTCTGGTGGTCTTTCCCAAAGTGTCAGCCAACAGATCATTAAAATTTCAGTCAGTATTAATTGGATAAGACCACACATCTCTGTCATTTCACTCTGCATCAGCTATGACAGAAAACATCCTGCCCAGTCTGCCACACCCTGTGGGTTGAATTTTAACTTTTAATGGGCCAAAAGTCAATCTCTTAAAGCCTGGAGGTTTATCATGGAAAATTAATACTACTTTTCCAGAAGGACCTGAGATTTCAAAGATGAAGATTAATTATATCCAACCAGGAGGCACATCATGCTTGTAAACATTGCAGCTTTTCAAAAATGAGGGGTTATGGCCATATATTATTGAATTCAAACCATACTGCAGATGATCTCCTAATCAGCAGTTCACTATCTGCCTGTTTCCAATAGATTTAAAACCAAGAACATACCAGGATATGGAGCACACTGTGATTCTGAGGTGCTGGAGGATGTGCATATCAGAATGATGCACCAGCGATCATGCAGATTTCCATCATGAAATTTTAAAAGTTACAGTGATATAACTAGAAACTAAAAGTTTCAACTATCATTGAAATATATATGAAAAGATACTCCATGTGTTCTACATTATTTTACTTCATGAGTAAAAGAATACTGAATTGGAACTGACTACTTTCACAGCATTTAAAGAAATGATAAATGGTGATTTTGAAGCAGCATTCAAAATCTCTCATTTTGTCAGGCAGTCAAGTGGGATTTGTGCTTGCTAATTCCTAACCTTTCCCACCAGACTGGATCTCCTGCTGCTTACTGTTTGCAACATTGCAGCTTCCCAGGAGAGCCCAGGTGTGTTTTCCTCCTTAGTGACATTCACTTCAGGCAGTAATTCCTAGGAAGATGGGCAGCCTTCAGCTCTAAGTGTAAGATTTGTGAATCCTCTTACAATCCTAGTAACAAACATAGAAAGTGTTTAGTTAAAATAGAAAATGTTTGATGTTTGCATGACTCTTTTCAGATCTGTTCAAACAACAGATCTTACAGTGGTGCAAGCAAGAGTACAAGTAAAAGAATACTAACAATACCAGCTGGGAAAAAATCTGCAGTGTGCCAAGTACATCTTAATAAATCTTCATTAATGTTTATACATACATATATAAGTGAATATATAAATAATAATGAAGACACACTCTTCTTATTGAGGTTTGTTGTTTTTTGTTGGTTTTTTTCCTCTACATAGTGTTTATGTTACATTTGGACCAAGAAATGTGAAAAAACTCACCAAAAAAATCACCAAACTCCAGCACAGCACCACTGTGGCAGGTCCACCTCCACAATTTCTTTTCCAGAATTTTTTATGTGTTTTGAGAAGCAATATTGCTGTTTTGATCTGCACAAACCTTTCAGTTGTAACAAACAGCAGACAGCTAATGACTGCTGAAACATATTTAGATTGCTCTAATTTTATAACTGAATGTTATGTTTGCTTATGTGTTTCCCTCTACCTTTGGAATTTTGTTCTGCTTTAGCTTAATAAAAGACATTTATAGCTAAGATTTACTTCTTTATGCATGTGATGTTGGTGGTGATCAAGGTCCATTTCCAACAATAATGGCCATATAAAAGTCCATGTATCTCTGCTTTTAAAAATTGATGGGATAGAAAATTCTCTCTTTCAGACAGGTAATTTCGGGACTGTTTGGCAAAATAATTTTAGTATAGTTCCTTTACCATGCAGAGCTATAAAATCAGTTGTGAGTTCTGTTAAGTTAGATGCCTGTTTTTTCTCCAAAATACAATTTGGAAATTTAGAATTCATAAAAACTAGGAAAGAAGTAGCAGCAAATACATCTCTTTCATCTCTTTAAACTAAAGGATGCTGTTGAACAGTTCAGAAACACTGAACCAGAGTAATTTCTCTTATAGAGAATTGAGGATCTTTAACTGGTATATACAGAGAAGACATCCTGCTTCTGGTTCACTTGCAGTGAAACCAAGGATGTGAAATAAACCTTGTATCCTGGACATATTGTTACCTTTGCATACAAACAACCAGGAGAAGCCTAACCAGAAATACCAGTTTATTGTCACTTGCTAGGACTGACTCTTATCACAAGAATAGGTACAAGTACATGATGAAGACCACCCTAAATTAAATTTTATTTTTAAGGTAAGGAGTATCTCATAGTTGTGGTGGTATTTCAAAAGTCATGGCCATATCTAGTGGTCCAACACAAAGAGATTAATTAACTTTCCCTTCCTTCTAAAGCTGTTAATAAGCTAGAGAGAGGGAACATTTTTATTACAACCCCTAAAACACTACTGTCACATTCTCATATTAATACTACATTCTTATGTTAAATCACTGAATTTTTCTATCCTTGGGTCCCTCTAGCAGATCTCATTAGTGGTTGTTTTTGTGGAGATTTTTGTTTTTAAGCCAAAAGAGAACCATAGTAACTGTGCATTTCCCAAACCATTTCATTCATGAATGGGAAATGAGTCTCCAAATCTTTACTCACATGAGTAACCACATTGATATCCTTAGGCCTTCCATTATTAGCAGCTAGAACTGTAAGTATAAATCTGCAGGATTTGGATGGGGCACTTCATTACTTCATAGGAGTGAAATCTGTAGCTGAAATCAATAGCTAAGCATGTGAGGCATATAAAAGATACACATTCTTTCATGGAGGTCTGATTGCAATGCATCTCTCAATTTTGTTTCGCTATCAACAAATAAGCATATAATTGTAAAGAGACATACAGACTATAGGCAGTAATTACAAAGACACATTTCAGATAGACATTCTAGCCTCAATAGAGGAGTTGGGAACAGTCCATCAGAAAGAACAGAATAATAGTGAAAAAGGTCAACACTTCCTGAAAAACTAACATGGTAAGTCACAGACCAAGTTTTTGGTTTTCTGTCAATCAGCAGTGTAACTGTTGTCAATCATTCCCTCTTACCTTGTTTGTGATTTTTGAATGGCTACAAAAGAAACTTTTGTTGGCAATTATGGTCTTTACAATTCATCTGAGTCAGAGGCAGGATTTTCAGATCCTGCCTGTGGAATAGGCATGGTGTACCCCAAGCTGCGCTCACGTATGTCCAACCAATTCAAACTAAACTTTCCCACGGTAATATGAAAGGAAATAAAAGATTCTGACCAACACAAGTTACTATTCTAGAAATAACAAAAGGAACAGGATAGCCAGGATCTTCTGGTTTAACTTTTTTTTTTTTGTTTAAGATGATAAATATATTAACTTTTTCTTTGGAAGGGTGCAGTTAGACAGGATATGCACCTGTACATCTTGGATCTTCTGAAAGAGTATTTCTGATTTCTGCTTAAGCACATGCTTCCCATTACACTGATATTTTGCTAAAAATTACCGCCAAGAATTAAGGCTTCTTCATTTATTTTTTTTTTAATTCCTGAATTCCCCTAGAATTTATTCTTTCCTCAAGTATTTTCACCTTCCACAGATACATTTTTGTTTTGTTTTCTTTGGCTATCAATTTATCTTGGCCTGCTGAAAACATGAAAAGATTTGTGAAGAAAGGATCTCACATAAAACCCAGTTTTGGAGTTGATTCAGCAAAGTAACAGATCTGATAACATCAAAGCAAGAACATGTGAAACTAAGAATTAGGCAGAACAGATTTTTCAACAAACTGCAGCTTCTAAAAATTTACCCATTTCCAAAGAGCCAAGTCTGTTTATTTGTTTATTTTCCTAACTTTGCCAAAAGAAAGGCTCAAACAACTTCGGAAAAATAACAGCAAAGTTGTTCAGCAGAAAGCAGCCCCTGTACTGTAAACAGTGCCTCTCCCCAAACTGCAGCTGCACAAAGCAGAGACAATGCAGGGACCCTCAGCATCATTAACCAACTTCCCTTCCTCACCAGACACTCGCTTCGATAAAGCAATTACAATAGCATCATGGAACAGTAGAACAAGGAAAAAAAAAATAACCTTACCAGCTTCTCCTACAGTACACAGCTGAAAGGAAAACAAAACCCCCAGCTGCCGTATCGCATGCAATTGGTCTCTGAGAATGAACTGACTGAAAGAACTATGAAAGGCTAAAGTCTTTCGGCCCCTCTGTTCAGCCTCTCTTCAGCTCCCACTCTCCGAGCTTCCTCACAAAGCCATTCTCCCGGTCCCTAATCCTCGCACAGGAAAAAGCAGCGCGCACCAAATGCCTCCAGCAGGAGCGATGCTCCGGGGGTGGGGGAAGAGGGATGCTGCCAGCGCTCAGCCCCAGCCCCGCAGCATCCCCGGGGAGCGCAGCCACAGCGCGCCAGGCATTGGGATTGGGGCACAGCGCCCCGTGCACGCACAGCACGACAGGACCAGGCACGGAAAAGTGCCCATCTCCAGCCATCACCCTCCCAGCCACTCATTTCTGAAATGAGAACACCCCTAGGTGCTTGCGAGAGTCCCCCGCGTGCATCTCAGTTAGCCTGCACTGAAATAATTAGGCTTTTTTTTCTTCTTTTAAAATTAGCCACGTGACTTCCTAATGCTCTTGTTGGGCCTTAGATATTTCTTTTTCACAAAGAACACACAAGTAAATCTTAAATATTTCAAACAGGGAAAAAACCCAACAAAGATGTTGCCCCAGAAAATCAATACCAAAATTATAAAAAAAGAGATCCTAGCAGACACAAAATCAATAGCATTATGAGGCACTGTATTAAAAAACCACTGGTGCCTCCCTGAAATGCTTCTGATAGCTAAAATCAGAACAAGCAATTGCATTTTTCACAATAAGACAAGGATTCTATCTTCATTTCCAGTTTATGTAAAAATAGACAACATTTTTTTAGTACAAATTATCTTGAAAACGTGAGACAGCTATTGAGATAACATCCCCTGCCTAGCCTCTGCTTTTCAAGAAAGTATTAAATCTTTGTTAAAGAAACACTGTTGTCATAATAGTTTTTAGCACAAGTTTTACTGCTCCACAAGATGCAAAGTACTCAGAAACAGGCAGCTGCCACAAAGTAAATCAAAGACCTAGAAAAGCAGATGGCATAATTTCACATCTTAAATGTTGGCTGTGAGCCTTCCAGTAATAATTTATAAGGAGACTTCCTCCTGCCTGTTCCTCTGCTTGGCAGCATGCTGTTTGAGCCTTTCAAACAAAATAAATAGACTTCAAGCCACCAGCTTCACACACACTAACACTTACCAATGCTATTTCAACCTGACACAAGCTGACTTTGTTCCTCTGTGACCCTGGAGAGAAAACCAAGGTGACAGTTTGATGGATGCGATCTCTTTTCACAATGTGGGTTGTGACTTCACAGTCCTGTCTCCCCATTATTGCTTAGCTGAAGGAGGAGACAGGAGCAGAGGAGAATCTTCCACCATACAGAGCCATTTTAACAGCGAACCAAACATGCAATAAATGCCTGGAACACATTTTCCTACCTCAAAAATGTGAATTTAAGGGAATCCGTTTCCACTTTTCTTGGAGTTTGGGTGTTAGGGCAGAAGGAAAAGGCTTCAAGAGGAGGAATTAATCAAAATTGTTTATCTCAAACATACTTTAGTTTAAGAAAATAACAATATCACCAGAGAACAAAAGAGAGAAAGAAGGAAAGAAAGAAGGAAAGAAAGAAGGAAAGAAAGAATTTTGTTTGTTTCATTTATAATTATTTCTTAACTGTGCTAATTCAATTACTGAACCATGAATCTTGAACAATTCTGTAGTGGACAAAGGTCTCACTGCAGTAATCTGAGGCAAACAATTGCAATGTGATGACTTTTATTTATTACCTAAAAGACATAATAATGTATCAGAGGATTCATATATCTTAAAATTGGTGTCCGCAAATTCAGTATTTGAATGCAGATTCTCTGCTAAAATGAATTTAGAAATCCTTTTACAAGATATTTAACATAAAAATCCTCCCAGATTTCACAGAACTCTTCATGAAGAAATTACTTTTCCATGAAAAAGGTTGAAAAAGGAAGATGGTGAACGAACTCTGAAATGCAAGGCTCCACCTCCACAGGGTTGAGCTCATTAACAAACATCCTAATGCCTGTATCTGGCCTCTGATTTCCTCAGAGCAGAGCACAGGTTGTTAATATGTTTCAGTATTTCTTTCTGATTGTTCATCTGATCTGATGGGTTCATCATGAATACTGAAGGGCATCAGACCTCTGAATTTACAGGTGGATACTGGGGCCAAATGACTTGCCTCAAGGAAGTCTCTGTCAGAAAGCCAAACCTCTGCTGTTCCAGAATAGTTCACCCTAGCTCCAGTGGTCTTCATGCATCAGAAGTTGATTTCTGAAACCAGGGCCATGTTTGAGATTAAGCTTAATATGGTATGTATTTGTAACAAAAATTATGTTTCTATCATTTCTAGTTTGGGATTTGATATTCACAATTCTGTCAAAAAATATGGGCTCCTGTTCATTCTTCCAAAAAATTGTACTGTCTTTTCAAAAAGATACACTTTGTTTCAAAATAACAGTATTTAAGTGTTTCCATATTTACAAATATTTTTAGTTGAATAGCATTAGACTATCTGTGAGGTAGAACCCAACTTATGATACTGAAAGATAATCAAACAAAAGACAGAAATTGATTGATATTCCAAAAAAGGCAAAATCTGACAGATTTATGCAGTGTAATATCAGCAATTATCGAGTTTCATCAATTCAAGTAAAATTTTTTGGGGTTGGTTTGTTGGTTTGCTTGTTTTTGTTGTTTGTTTGGGTGTGGGGGTTTTTTTTGTTTGTTTTGTCGGGTTTTGGGGGTTTTTTTGTTTTTGTTTTTGGGTTTTTTTTGTTTGGTTGGTTTGGTTTGGTTTTGTTTTTTTTTTTCCTAAGAGCCACCTTAAAATTACAGTCTTGGTTTAGGTGACCCCATTCTGGGACTTAGGGGGGACTAGCATGGTGAAAGTCGTGTGGTATGAATTTCAGCCTTTGAAAAGAGGTTTTAAAAGATGTACTTGTGAACCATTTATGTCCCAATTACAGCTTCTAAACTTCCACCATTGTTTCCTCGCTTCTCCCTAACAATCTGAGACCATTCCCATTGTAAAGAAGGAAGTACCTTAAACATTTTAGAAACAATAAGGCCTCTTCACAGACCAATTGATATAAATACATTAACTCTAAATAAAAAAGTTTGCACCATCCAGGAGGTGGTTAACTATGCTATGCACAAATGAGATGAGCTCTACCGATCAAAAGGAAAAATGAAGCATGAAAAATTCGGCCACCTTTGTACTTGGAAGCTGGCATAGAGGAACAAGAAATTCACAATGGGACAAAAGCTACAGGCACCGAAATTTTGGAAGAGCTCATTTTTCTCATTCTTGTAACTTTCAGAGTCATGATAAATATCTGAAGGCATCTGAGTTTTAGGAAATCACAGAAATCACAGCAGGTTTGCACACTCTGCTCCATAAGTTTTTCTCTGCTTGCTCACAACCATATCCACTTATCTGTATAATCTGTCCAAAGCACTTTTTTTTGCACAATATTTACTACTTTCCATGTTTCCAGGATTAACAAAAAGCATAAGGCTCTTGGATAAGGCTTTCATTTGGATAACAGCCATAGACTTTTAATAGCAATCATAAGAACAGTTCAAAGAATCTTTTCTACAAGCAGAGTGATGCAGACAACAGCACTGCAAAAGATTCTAGCAAAACTAAAGATTCCTAAGATCTTTGAGGCTCACTGGTGACTGCACTCTGATTAGTCCAATCTACTGCAGCTCTTTGACTTTTTTTTTTACCCTAAACTCACAGTAATTCTTAAAGGCAAGTGTAGAAAATGGAATCATAGAACAAGATGGAAGGGACCTTAAAGATCATCTGGATCATCTGGAGATGGCATATCTTTATAAACAGAAGAAAATGCACATATTAAAGATACATCATCTGACTTTTAAGCATTTGATTGAGGAATATGAGTTCCATAGTCAGTAGATGATCTAAGAGTACACTTTTTAATGAGCTCCTTAACACAGTCAATTAATTTTAAAAGTTTACTATTCAATATTAACCTTGTTTAATGATTGATGCACATATAACATATGTATGTCGAAATTCAGGGCTATTCTTTATCTACTTGGACAGATTTTTCTTCTGAGAAAGCAGTGGGGTCGCAGCTCTGCAAACTGGAAGAGGAATGACTCGGCAAGAAGGAAGGAAGAAGTAGCAATGAGAGGAGAACACAGTAAAAAAACCATAATTGGGTTAAAAGGGAGAGAAATTAAAAACTCTGATGATTAGAGTCACTTGAGCAAGAATGTTACTGAAGTCAAAGTTTCACTTTGTCAAGGCTTATCTAATAGCATTTCCCTGGGGTTTGATCTCCATGGGTTCAGCCTAAACTCTCTCTCACTTTTGTGCCAGAGTTGGATGAAAGCAAGGATTCAGCAGTGCAGCTGGGTTTACATTAGGGGTGTGTGTGTGAAGCTGAGGATGTCTAGCTTGGAACTTCAAAGTGCATCAGCCAATGCTGGTGCATCAGCCTGCAAACTTCAGTAAATATGTCAGTCTTCCTAAAGTTAAATAGAAGAGCAAAATTAAAACAGCAAAGTAAAAGAACAGCATGGGGCCTGCACAACACTAAATCTTCATTACTCCTTCAGCAATAAGATACAAGGAGCAACAAAGAGGTTCTCTGTAAATTTGGCAAGAAAACACATTCTGAGTGTCTGTTCAGAGGCTTTGGCAGATGTGACATGCTGGTCAAAGATAATCCAACACTGCAATTTTGGACACTGGAGTATACCTCTTGTACAGCCAGGAAAAATGCCTATAACCCAACCCACCTTCCACAGCCTTCTGCACCAACCTGGGGGTGAGTGGGCAGCATGGGGTCAGGAGACATCCATACTATGGACATTGCCTGGTGTTTTTTAAATATCAGATATTGTCATCACAACTGTGCTACAGACCGACATGAGCAGGCACACAGACACAGGCATTAAGAAGACTAGAAGGCCTTTAAAGCTCAACCATCAAGACTTTTGTAACCCTTTAGCATTTAAAGACAAACATCTGCTAAAAAAATTCTTAGGCTTGGAGCCTCAGACTGTTAATATATGTGTCTCCTCCTCCTTTTGGAGGAGACACATGTATTTTCCCTGTAGTTCAGAGGTTTGCAGCACAGCTGGAATTCCAACTTTTGAATATTACTACAGTGAAAACATATATACAGTGATTTAAATAGTGATATTCTTGTCCATTTTTCCAAAACAAAGAGAAATTAATAGAGTTAACTGGGGTATATTTGGGAAGTGGGGGAAGAAGAAAGGAATAAAG